CCCCAAAACCCCAAAACCCCAAAACCCCAAAACCCCACCACTAAGATAAAAATTTGAAATCGATCTAAATTTATAATTTAAATTTTTGATAGCACAAATGTCGACGACTCAAGCTAGTATAATGAGTGATTTCTCACAGCCAAATGCGAAGATGATGGCATCAGCCCTGTTCTTTGAGTACCTGGTGTATCTTGTGTTTAGTATTATTGATGCGTATAAGAAGGAGAGCTCGGAGTATGTGTTTTTGGATGAGAAGGCTCAAGCGGAAGCGGAGAAAAAAGCAGCGGAGAATAAGAAGAATAAACAAGCTAAGAAGGATAAAGATAAGCAAGAGAAAGCAGCAAAGAAAGCAGCCCAGAAAACAGATAAGGATAAGAATAAGAAAGGTAATAGGAGTATAAGAGAGTGAAGGTCGTTTATGTTTATTAGCATGATGAGTTGGAAGATGAGGATCTAGGATAATGATTCCAGTCTTTATATCCAAAATTCTCAGAACATGAGTAAACTTCCCCAAGAGTCCTGCTCCAAATCCCTAAGCCATAGTCTTTAAACTCCCCTGGCTTAATCCCACATCTGACCTTTTGTTTAGACAAACCCAAATAAGGAAGGAGGCGAACCTGAATTTGACGGAGGCGAAGAAGAAAGAGGCAGAGGAGCCCATAATTCAAGCAAAAGTGGTGATAGAAGAGATAGGAGCGCACATTCCGATAAACCTAGGAGAAGAGGAGAGGATAGAAAGGATGAAGTAGAAGAAAGCCCAGAGTATCAAGAGTGGTATAAGAACAATAATAACTCGATTTCCAAGATTATTGTGAACACTTTCCCGAAATACTTCCTTTTCTTTGCATTCTGTGTTGGGTTCACAGCGTCAAGAGCTCCAACAGGATTTGCAGTTGGCTTAACCTACTCTATGGTCCTTTGCAGAATTGTCCAGGTATACTCATACTATTACTACAACAAGATTGCGATCATTGGATCTATAGTCATATGTGGGGTGATAAGCATCATGCTGATCTTCACAGGGCTGATTCATCAGTACTAATCCAAACAATTTTGCCAAAATACAATCAAATAAAATATAAACTAAGGTAGCTCAATTCCTTAAGAGCTTACGGGGTTTTGGGGTTTTGGGGTTTTGGGGTTTTGGGGG